ACAAATTGAATAAAAATCAGAAAAAAATCAAGAATTACTTGAAGCCTACTAGGATTTTTCTGAAAAATTTCCATATTTTTTTAAGATGGGTTAAGCGATAGGGTGAAGTTACTTGGTGATTTTCTTGGGGGTTCTTGGTGCAACAAACCACCAAAACATATCAAGTGAAGGCAGACCAACACACAGAGGCTTTCTGATGGTAAAAATTTCCAAAGATATAACACAATTAGCCGTATTTATTTCCCCCTTCTCTCACTTTATCTTTTGAAATCTTCACAATTTGATGATGATGGGCCCCTGGGAAGGCGATTCTGTGAAAATGGTTCAATTTTTTGATGGTATATTTCCCGGTTTGATGGTATCCGAAAGGCTTTGTTGCCAAGAGCATGGTATTTAAAAGGTTAACTCGCTACAAAACCAGATCCCGGGGTTTAGAGGCTGGCAAGCCCTGGACGGGGAGTGGATCGCTTAATCGCATTTTGGGACGTGCGCATAAGCTTGCCCAACCCAACCGCATGGGCCACTCGAAGATCTCCGACATAACACTTGTTTATGGATGTCTTAGCTATTCACATTAGAGGAAATTCTAGTACGAGTACTCGAGTAGGCGGAAAATACCCTTGCTTCTGCCTCTCTACTCGAGTACCATACTCGAGTACTGTACGAAGCCCGGCAAATGATACAACTAGCGGAAGGGGAGGGGGCTTCTCCCGTGCGCACTAGTACAAGTACTTGTACATTCAGCTAGCTCGAAATTCGGCAGATTTGCTCAGAGGAAAGACGATAAAGCGGTGAAAGAGATAAACCCCCAACATATTCCGCACAGCGTGGGGTGGATACAGTACGATACTCCCTATGGGGGGGCCTCAGCAATCCTTGGGAGAGAACCGCATCTCTCATGCGCTCGTAAAATACATATACTACTTATACGAAAGTCACAAGAGAGGGGGCTTGCTCTAACCTTGTTAACGAAATAAAAAAGAAGGAAAAGAACAAACCCTAAAAGTAAGTGGGGCTAATCGCAAGGGAGGGCAGTCTTCTCGACATGAGAGTTTGCTGCCCGCCTAACCTTTCGGGTTCGGGCTACTCTTCTATGAGAGCTGAAAAAGTATCGTACCACCAAAAACTGATGAGTGAGGTTTCAACGAACGCCCCGCCCAGGGCTTGAGGATTGCTTAATACCGTCATACCGTCCTCGGAGCCACATTGATTCTGGGCAAAGTTCTTGATGGAATTATGAAATTAAACTGTGTGTGCTCGATGTTTCGGTATCAAAATCAAACTGGTGAGGAATCCTTTCGATAAGAAAAGAAGGAGAAAAATTTTCTCTCTTCGCTTTTTTAAAATTGATTCTAACAAAATCAAAACTGCTCGAGTACTATGGTACAGTACTGGTATCACTCCTGACCAGGATGACCACCTTGCCGACGAAGCACGGCACCGCCAATAGTGTGCATTATCAGGTGTGGGAGTACAAGGGTCTAAAATGAGCCCAGCTTCGCTATACCAGACCCGAGAGCCTAGCGTGCGGAATCTAAATAACTGGTACTGTACTCGTACTCGAGTACTCGATCGAGTGCCAGTGAGATAGGGGCACCGGTATGGGACAGTGGGCTGGTATCATCAATGCCGGTCATCTATCACAGACTGTCACTCATTCATTCGACCTACAATTGAATGGGAAGTGCACGGTACTCGATGCGCCAATAAATAAAGTTTCTACTTTATGGATTACTCGAGTACTCGTACTGGTCTATGGCCTAGAACAAACAAGGGAGAAAAGACCGGGTTTTCGGTTTCTGGTTATTGACCGCTCTTAGAATCTACAGTGGCCAAGTGAAGGTACCGGTACGCCTACTTTTACTCTATCTATACACAAAGTGGTTATTGAATTATAGGGAGGAAAGTGGTGATGTGAAGGTTACAAGTACTTGTACAGTATCGCAGCATTTTTATAGTCACTAGGACAATTACTGGACGGAATTGTCTATTCCACTTTGTACCCAGTACAATACGACGAGAACTCCAGTGCAGTACGGTACAGTACAAAAAAAAAAGTGTTATATGATACCTGTCAGTATGCGTCCTCAGGAGGTACGACTTATGAGAGTGAAACATTGGGGTTACTAGGGATGAAATTCGCCAAGGGGCCAGGCCTACTAGTATATCATAAAGTGCCTACAAGACTGGTGAAGAGTTTTATTTCTTTTCTTTTCTTATTTCGGTTCATACCTCCTCCCATTCACATCTTCTATTTTTCTCATAGCTTGAAATTGTTTGCGAGAAAGGGAAATTCGTTTCTGCCAAAACTAGTTTCCTTCAAAAAAAAACCAATAAAGGAAAAAAAAAGGTCAGAGTCGGAAAACCGTTCATGCTTGATGGATTTTTTTCTTCTTTTCTCCCTACAAGTACCACCAGCCCGACGTCCGGTGAATTATTCTCCCTCCCCCTCCCATCTCCAACAGTACGGTTCATGGGATGTAAGGAATGGAAGGACGGGTCGGCCAGATTACTTTTTTCTTCTTCCACTCCCCCCCGACCCACCCGCCGAAATTTCCTTGCTTGTTTTCTTTCTTTTTTTCCCTGTCTTTCCTGTCTTTCTCCCGCTTTTTTTTTTTTTTTTTCAGACCTCCGCCACCCGTTTGCCCGCCCATTGGAAATGAGGTGTGGAGTCCTCCCCTTCCCCCATCATTCCCTTCATTTAGTTTTCGACTTTTAGGGCAATTGCAATACAATAATAATAATGATGATAATACTAACAACAATGATAGAAAGTCAAGCTTAGACCATGGAACTGACAGAGGTTAATACATCGTTTACCGAACGGTACAGTACTGGTACCGTGCTCGTACAAAATCGACGGGCGGGAATGAACGAATGAACGAACGAGAGGGGCAAAGGAGACATGCAGAACCTACCAGGTTTACACTCGGGTAGCGTGGGGGTTAATGCAAGTGGAGGAGGCAAGGAAGGAAAGAAGGGAAGGGGTATGGCAGTGCTTGCCTCTGGCAAATCGGTGCCCGGAAACAGGGGTCGCGAATTTGGATGGGCGCTCAGATACACACGGATTTTCTTACCATATATTTTGCGAATCCCAGTTTCCGGGTACTTACGGTATTGTCTGGGCAAGTGGAGCACTTGGTTCAATCAATCATTCTCGTGCGAGTGCAGAGTAGACAATCTCGAATCTCGCACAAGTGCCATGCCGGTATACCGCACAAAGTACCGGCACTGTATGATACCGGTACCTTTATCCTATGATACTCCACCTTCGAACTCTCCTCTTCTCAAGAAAGCCGAACCTGACCAAATAACCCTAACGAATTACAACTGATCCAAGGACTTGCTACATCAACCCTCCGGATCTGAGAATACTACCGGTATTTCCGTAGTGAATAGTCCACTCCTCGATGTAGGGAGGGGCAGACATTGTTCATACCCTCTCCCGCCTTTATCATACCGGTACCCGTATTGGTGCGAGTACTGTACATAAAGCCAGCCATGTTATGCATGTTGTGCGAAATCCGGTTAGGGCATTAGATTGGATGGTTAGATCATGTCGTACCTGGGGCATCTTGATTCTTGATACTTGATTGATGAATGGGTGGAATGGGGGATGGGGGATTTTTTTTTCCTACAATTTCTTCCGTGCCTCCATCTCATCTCATGCCTTGTCTTATCACATCTCCTTCCTTTCCTTGCTTCCTCACTTCCTCACTTGCTCACTTGCTCAGATGCGCGACACCCGTAATACTGGTCAGCACCAATTAATTACTATTGTTGGTAAATCCAAATAACACAGGCACAACCCACACAGCCATGGAGAGGAGCCAAAAACGCACGAGCCTACTCTTCCCCCTCCCACCCTTCTTATCGCTCGTTCATTCGTTCGTACGAGTACCAGCACAAATACAGTACGAGTACAATGGCCACCCCTCCTCCACCCCCACTTAAAAAGGGAGAAAAAGAAAGAAGGAAACCACAGAACAGAGACACGCTAGCCGACATAATAGTACTAGTGCAATATGACACAGCAGATTAAGGTTAACAACTGGGCATCTGGACTAACCAACTAGCACCGCACCGGGCCGATCTCGTACCGTACCCATACCTTACCGGCACCGGTTAGGATACGGTAATAGTACGGTATACAAGCGGGTCCGTGATGAGCAGCGTCCAAGCACACCCGTTCGGCAATAAAAAAAAACGGGATCCGGAAAATATCCCTCCAATCGGCAATCAATAAACAAACCCAAATCACCAGGGTTTCGGACGCACTCGTCGTGAAGGACTTAGGGTACGGTATGGAGTAAGTCTAGCCAGCTAGCTAACTAGTACAAGTAACACCTTACAAGTTGGAGTGGATACTAGTACTGTTATCATACTCTTAATGACGGGTTTGTACTAGTACAGAACGCTACCGGTCCGCTGGTGATGGGCGGGTGGACCACGGCGGTATTTGCCGGGGGAAAGTGGCTTGACCTTCTCGGGATTTGCTTGTTCGTTTTGTTTGTGTTATGACGCTGGTCTAGAGTACCGGTACAGTAGCGCCGTTCGGTGCGGTTCGGCACGAGAGGGAGGGGGGAAAGGAAAAAAAAGAACCCGTATCATATCTTGTTGTGGAACGGCGCCGGCATCGGTATATAATATCGGTATTCGAGTACAGTACGAGTACTAGCCGCCTCGTTAGAAGGTGTGTGGATTGTATCGAAGCCCAAGTGGACTTCCCGGCTACAACAGTACTTACTGCCAAAAGCAGGAATCTGTGCTTCGTTACTGGGATTTTTCCCATTAACTTGCAACTAACTACTATCATACTTCATGATAAGTTTTATATCTTAAGATATTCCATCGTGTTTCCCTCGTCATGTTGCTCGTAGTGGGCGTTTGACTCTGAGTGGGGGGGGCTGCGATTGCACTCCGGGGTGCAGTCTCTCAGTCTACCTACATCTTCTGAATTGGCAAACACAGAGTGGATGGATGGATGGGGTTCATCGGAGTCAAGGATCTTATGATATTATTGTAAATTGTACGGACATATGCGTTCAAACCATCTTGGGAAACCACCCGCCCACACACACACAACCTTGCCGTTTTTTCCCCACACCCTCTAAAGTACTCCACAAACGTTTAGGTGGTGCTGTACGTCGCCCCACATTCCCCACCGACCAAACAATCATATTGCCCCAGCCTAGAAGAGTTACCTAGGCAAAAGCCAAAAAAGAACATTCATTTATGACATGCAAAGTACGCAATGCACTTTTCGAAGGTAAGGAAGAAGAAAATTACCAGCACTTAAAAGAAACAGAAGGGAAATTGAAATTCATCATGGTCTATCCCTATTGGCAATAGAACGAAGGACATGAAAGCCGGGGGAAATAATTCTCCAACAAGCGCTAAAAAGAAAGAAAGAAAAGAGAAACATGGAAAACGTCGGGAAACGTCAGCACTAGCGTGCCGAGGCCGCTTCCAGTCGATTATGACCAGACATCCTCCTATCAAGGGCGTATTAGTGGTCTGTTGCAGAGGGAGAAAAGGGAAAGAAAGGGAAGAAGCTTGGCGAGCTGAGCATGGTGTTCCATATCGACACAGGCCCAGGAGCACCTTAGGTATGCAATTCAAGCGATGAAGCACACCTACCTGGTATAGATTGCTAGATCTCAGTCTCTTGACGATTTCCTCTCCTTGAGTCTCTGTCAAACCCCTCTCCTGAGCGATGATGCTTCCGAGGGAGGTATTGACCTCTCTGGCCATGTGGGCAGCGTCTCCGCAAACATAGAAGTAGCTACCTTGTGCCAAAAGCTCATTAACTTCTTTGGCGCGCTCTTTCAGTCTGTGCTGCACGTACACCTTCTCAGGTCCGTCACGTGAGAAAGCGGTGATGAGTGAGAACGAATCTCCGAGTTTTGAAGCATATTCCTGTGTTAGTTTGGCGCGGTTAGTGAGATGAATACTATTTGAAACACCAAATGCACTGACCTTCCATTCTTCTTGGTATAGGAAATCCTCAGAAGCTTTCCTACAACCAAAAAACAGCAATGTCTTTCCAATCCTCTCGCCCTTCTCCGCAAGCGCTGCACGTTCCTGAACAAAAGCCCTGAAGGGTGCTACACCAGTACCGGGCCCAATCATGATAACAGGCTTGGAAGGGTCACTAGGAAGCCTGAAGTTTGACGCCCGGGTATGGACCGGGACATGGATACCGTCATATTTGTTCCTGGGGCCAGTGATTGCGTAGCTGAGTCCATGTGGGTCGGGTTCCGGGTCCCCATGCTGTTTCTGCTTAAGAGCGAGAAGGTAGTTTGAGGTAACACCCTTTAGAGTATGTGAAGCACCAGGAACTTTGATAGATTCAACGACACAAGTGATTGAAACAAGTTTCGGTTGAACCAACGAAGAGGATGAGATCGAGTAATAACGTGGTTGAATACGATTCAGTCCTTCAACCATCAAGGAGAAAGGGACGTTTGACCAAATCTCGCCAGGCGCGTTGAGCTCCAAGACCTGTGCAATGTTGAGATACCGAGATGAGATTGTCTCCTGGAAGTAGTCTTTGTCACCACCGAGCCTTGTGAGTTCATCTTTGGCAGTAGGAGTTGGGGCGAAAGCAGCAAGAGACGCAAGAAATTGACGGGAGACGGGAGCACAGATCTCGAGATGATAGCGGGCGATCGCGTCATAGGTGGTGGGTGTTGGAAACGGAACCTTCGCAGTAGAATCGATTCCGGTAACATCGATTACGCCATCCTTCTTCTCCTCAAGACCGAGGACTTTCAAAAACCCATCAACCTCTTTACCAGCGTTGGTAGGCCAAACAGCGATGTGATCACCGGTAGTGTAGGAAAGGTTTGTGCCGGTAAGATCAATTTCCATGTGCAAGCAGTTCCTATCCTTGACGGTAAAAATTTCACGAGAGGATTTGATTGGTGCAATGAAGGGATTGTTGGCTCCATAGGGTCCCTTAGAACCTCCTTCGAGGTGATTCTTGTTGGGTTCACCAAGGTAGACAGTGTCGTCTTCGACCGAAAGCTCCGTGCGCTCAGCAATGGAGAAAACAGGTTCATAGACAGCTTCTCTCTCCTCCAAATCCATCTCCTCTTGAAGTGCTTTCCACATGGGTTCCTTCCAGGCCAAAAAATCCTCTTCCATAGTACCAGTACCATCGTCGCCTTCGCCAATGTTGCCGATCTGTTTAGCGCCCAATTTCAAGAGAGTTGCGGTTAGACGGCGGATGACAGCGTTAAAATGTTCATAAGTGTTGTTGCCCAACCCAAAGCCAATGAATTTAAGGTTGCCCAAGCGATCGCCCTCAGTAAAATTAACGTCGTCACCCATGATGAATTCGTAGAAATCCACAGCGTTATCAGTCGGTTCACCTTCACCATAAGTAGCCATGACGAAAACTGCAACCTTATCTTCTGGGAGAGTGTCCAAATTTTCGTAGTCGAATTCCTCAAGGTTCGCAATCATAGTCTTCAACCCAAACCTAGCGCTGCCCTCTTTCGCCAATCTAGAGGCATAATCTTCGGCTGTTCCTGTTTGTGAACCGTAAAAGATAACCATATTCTTATCGGATTCTTCCATAGTCTTAACAATATCCCTAGTTTTGCTGCCTTTGGTGGCCGCGCCATTAGCCTTAGAGCCTCCATAGATTCCAGTGATAGTATCTTTTTCGACAGCCCATAGTGAACCTTTGGTGAAGTATGCGATGGTACCGAGAAGCAGAGCCGCAAGGACAAGAACGTCCAACGTGTCTAGTTGGGTGGCCATGACTCTTGAATCCTGTAACGGCAAGGAATCGGTTGTCAGTAGGAGGAAATTCGCAAGAGATGACAACAGGAGTAGGGGGGGTGGCGTCAATAGAAAAGAGAGAAAAGAAGGAAAAGCTCAGAAGGGGAAGAAGAAAAAGGAAAGGAGAGGAGAGATGGACAGGGCAGGGTAGGGGAAGACGAAAATCGAATAACCACAAGGGCTAAAGGCGTATCGGAAAGACAACCGATAAGGCCTAGGCAACAAACACAGCAGGCGGAAGGAACAAAGATCCCAATCCGCGCAACCGAACTCTGATAGAAAAGAGGGAGAAGAAGGAGAGAGAAATAGAATTAACACAGAAACTGAGAAGAAATAAAGAAGAGGATGTGGAGGATAAAGAGGATGGAGAAGACGAAGATGGAGAATAGAGAAAGGTCGAGATGGGTGGATCTACAGCTAGAAAGGACAGCGTTGCAACAGTGCGGAACCACAGAATGTTCGGGTACCCGCCCTTTCCCGGCTATCTGATCTGACCCGGTGGGGAACCAGGAGTTATGCAAGTCTGAAATACTATACAAAAATAGGATCTTCTCCCGTAATTACGGCGCGAGAATGCATATCCTAAGAGAACACAAAATTCGGAGGTCTATAAAGTTGCGATTCTTACATCACGTTCAGCTCTGGCACTTAACCCGCCTAGCAGGAAACCTGTATTCAGTAGGGCTGGTGATTTGTCCATCTGAAGGGTTTTTTTGTGCTAGATAGGCTTAAAACCCGGATACGATTCTGTGATAAGACCGAGTCCTTGGATGCAGGAAGTGGGAATCACCCTTAGCAGCAATGATTGTTGGATGGTTCTGCGCTCTCTCGTCTTGCGGGGTGGCCTGCTGTGCTCGTACTTGCTGGACTGTCGTTGTTGCACAAGGGAAACCAACGAAGGCAAAACCAAAAAAAAAGATGGGGAGGGGTGTGAATATGTGCGAAAACGGTAGCTCAGCAGGTCTGCATAAACAGAGAAGGGTAGGGCTCGTGATGGTGACGGATCACGAGGGTATGCTTGAAAGAAAGTGGTGAATATTGGAAAACCAAGGCCTCGAGGCCGGGGATGCCAGCGGATTTATAGAAGACTAAATGGTATTGGTCAATAAGTTAGTAAATTCATACGGGTATTGAACGGTGGAATACCGCGCCTCCAGCAAGCCCCATGGAAGTTTCTACAGATGTCACACAAATCCTTCAACGCAGTTACGCAAACCGGGCCCTTGGAGGTAATAATGGTGGCCGAGTAAAGCTTCGGACTGTGGGGCTTGCCCGCATGTTTAGATGAGGTGGTGCAGAGGGATACTGGTACTGTACGTTGTTGTCACAGGCCCGACGAACGTTTGGAAAACTATTATGATACTGTAAACCCGTAGTTGGTATGCGGGGCAAAATTAATTTTTTTGATGTAACTCCGATAATCACTTCCTCCTATGCTACGCTGGTATTAGAAAATGTCTCAGAAAAAAAGATGTCTATGACAAAGGAATAATGTGTACTAATAATCATTTCCTATGCGCCGCAACAATTCCGCTCAAGTTTGAATGAAACCCTCGCGAAAAAATCCCCCAACGACATCCAGAGGGATATACTCTAGGGCTATATGCTGCTTGGCTCATCATCCAATGCGTTGGAATACCAAGCCAACGTTCTAGCAGATTCCGTACGGTTTTTGCGACGGGGCATTGGCTCGACTGGTACCCCCCATTGTGCCGCCTTCGTATTCGAGTTGGAAGTAACTTCTGCTGGAATTATCGGGCGCAAGCATCGCGGTAGGATTGACGTTTCTTGGACCCAACTTACATCAACCCCCTTTCCTATTGTACAGCCGAGTTCTTATTCGATCTTAAAAAATTCTCAATCGGTGACAAGTTCACCATCATAAGATAGCGGTGGAACGATTTTGTGCAATGCTTCCTGCTACATGGTATCTTGCGGGATGTGGGACCATCGCATCCGCGGTTAGCACCCAGTCAGTGTTTCATATCCACCACCCCTGGGAACCCAACCACCGTCGCTTGAGAATGTTATCATAATGCAAACCAATATGACCAAGACTCTGATGGTACAGTATATATGGCGAGGCCCCCCCCCCCCGCTAAGCGTCCATTTAGTTACTCCAAAGTGCGAAGACGGCGAACCCGCTGAAGCTCTTGGGCGTCCTTTGAACTAATACAGGTAGTAGCAACATATCACAACTCTAAACATCTTCTCAATCCCGCTCCAAAACGAGCCACCCACTCCCAGCCAGTCTGCTCTGTTAGGAAGAAACCAGACCTTTCAAAATGATGGGCCCCCATTCCCAAGATACGGGACGTAAACCAGCATCTCCGTCTTTGTCTTACCAAGTGAGATTCTCACTAGACCAAGTGCTCGGCAGATTTTTAACTCCAGAGAAATATAAAGCATAGTATCCTACACTGTCCTACAGGATTCTAGGGATTTTCAAGGGATTATCGGTATATCCGAAGAATGGCCCGTGAAGGCTGAGGCTTTCCCGGAGAAACAAATATATAGCGAAGGGAACTCCACATATTGACTCTCCGATCCACGGTTGTGTGACCCACCGTACCTTTGTTCCCTCCAACCATGTCCCATCATCCCCACAAAATATGCGGATAATCCGGGCCAAGATCTCATCTGGGCCTCCCAATACCATAATCTCACGAATATCGCCGAATGTGAGGCTCGATCCTTCCCTCGCAGCTTTTGACCGGCGCTACACGTGATTCCGTCCATTTCACTCCCAGTGCCAAGAGTTGATTGCCCGAAAACCAAAATAAGCTCATTGGGAGCAAGGAGTGCCGGCCTATTGCTAGCACGTGGGTGTCGGTACGCCCGAGATCCGAAACCAATCCCTGCAGGAACGACAGAACCCTAACCCAGATGCCATCAGAAAGATCACTCGCTATGATCTTAGATAATGCTCCAGAAGGCCCCAAACCGGTAGCTTGAAGCCGTAAAGAGATTCTTGGAGCTCCGTGACCAGACATTCCGTATGCCCCTGGAAGATATCTTTTCACCAAGTAGAAGAGCCTCCACCAGTACTAGGGTTAAACTTTTGGCTCAACGAAATAGCCTGAAGCAAAATATTGCTGGTATATGTTGGGCAATGTTGATCATGATTGGCTTCCTTGTTCCCTATCATGTGGACGCCAGTCTTCTGTTCCCTAACCAACCTATGTCCTACTAGGCTGGTAATTATCTTACTGATATCAGATACCATTGCTCGGGGAAGGTATGCATTCAAGAAGGCCATAACCTGGATAGTTAGTTAGATTGGTCCAATCAGCGTTTATCACAGTAGCTGTCTTATCTCCCGATCCCCGGCGATCTGCAAAATTGTCTCTTTAGTTGACTGAGTTATAAAATTGATCACCGCAGGTGAGGATTTATGTAGCCAGCTCTGCATAATGTCTCCCTCTTTGCTGTTTGTGCCCAGACTGTCTTGAGGTCAAGTACCATCGGCGGCACCAGATCCCAAATGAGCACCGAGAACAGAGCAGACCCCAATCAGGGCACTGTGTTACCTGCATCCTTTTTGGGCACCTTGACAACCGTTACTAGCGATTCGTTTTTACCGATAACGGTTGCCAAGGTACCCAAATGAGCACGAGAACAGTGCAGGCCCCAATCAGGGTACTCAAGTACCGCATCCTTCTTGGGCCCTTGGTAGCCGTTATTGGCTTCATCATTTCCACCCTTGGGGGTTGGAAGAAAATTTGACCCAACACCATTGGCTCGTTGGGGGAGAGAGGAACCTTTAAGGGAGGAATTTTGGCCATCCACGACAGAGGGGTCGTTTCACCCTTTTGCGACTTATTTCAAGGGAAGTATACACCAATACTGTACCGTACAGTACTACAAGTGCCAGGGGGGTACTGTAGTCGGAGTAGGGATAAAAAGGAAAGGTTTAATAATATAAAAAAAAAGTTTTTGCAAACACTAGACCTCACCAATTTTCTAATGATTTGCGCTGGTATGCAATAGCAGTTGCGTTCACAAACGTCATGCGTTTGCGAGTAGTAATGTTCGGTTATTTATGCAATCCTGCTGTACCTGTCTGTACTCTACTCCGCTGTGCCGTACTCTTTTACTCTTACCCTACGGAGCTTCCTGGGCGTCTCCCGCAAGGTATTATTCACCCTGCGGTGCCCATTTCCCGTACGGTACTCTTACCCTGTGGAGCCTCCGTGACATCTCCCGCATGGGTGTTCTTCTGCCATAGAGTACCCTCTTACCCTACGGAGCTTCCTGGGCGTCTCCCGCAAGGTATTATTCACCCTGCGGTGCCCATTTCCCGTACGGTACTCTTACCCTGTGGAGCCTCCGTGACATCTCCCGCATGGGTGTTCTTCTGCCATAGAGTACCCTCTTACCCTACGGAGCTTCCTGGGCGTCTCCCGCAAGGTATTATTCACCCTACGGTGCCCTTTTACCATACGGCACTCTCACCCTACGGAGCTTCCTTGACGTCTCCCGTAAGGAATTATCTACCCTGCGGTGCCCTTTTACCCTATGGTACACTTTTACCTTCTGGAGCTCGGAGGAGCAGTTGGAGCAGTTGGAGCAGTCCCGCCCATACCCGTCCAAACACATCCATTCTGACTGCTGCTGGCCTAGTCAGCTCTGGCGATGCTGAGGGATGAAAGACTTGTTTTGATGGTTGATATTACATTTGGCAATGTATTGTATATACGGGGTCTAGAGTCAGTTAGCCATAGTAGTAAGTGGATATACTGTGAGAGTAAGGTATTCCAGAGTGTGATTCTCTGTCTCGGCGTAGCTTGTTTCAGCAAGCAATAGTAGGCGGGAATGGAATGCGGACATCATTGCTTTACGGTATGCTTCATGGGAGTATTGAGGTTAACATTTAAATAGCCAGAATTAGTAACCAGTGGATTGGTTATAATAGATAGTTGCCCATACCTGGTAGGTATAGTAGAGCATCTGGAAGAGCAAATAATGGCAGGTCCAAATCAGGGACTTAGGGTCACGAACGTAGCTTAGCAAGGAAAAGGGTTTCACATGACTCATGATTATGAGTCATAGGTATGTTATTGTTTTGCGCATATAACTTATTTGGGTCAACAAACTTGTTACATTATGATTTGATATGTTTCGCATATGACTCAATTATGAGTCTATAGGATGTATATCTGGTAAGCGTGCCTTGCGAGTCTGTCTTGCGGGTATGCATTGGGCTAGATGATGGTATGTTTTGCATATGACTTCATGATGAGGTCATGGGTCTCATGCATGTGACCACTTTAGGTCAT